TGAAAGCTTTGGAGACTCTAATGAGACAACGGAGAGTAAAAAAAAAAAGGAGCAAATGATAAACTGCTTTTTGAGGGGGTAAGAGAATGGAAAAATACAAAGAGAAGAACAAGACAGTTTGCCAAGAACAAGAAGAACATTTAGAACCTTTATTCCTCTTCTTTTAGAACAAAAAGGTCAAATGCTTTGGGTTTAAATACAAATTGTTTGATGGATAAAGAACATCTGTCTGTCATTGAGCAGAAATACTTTACCATCAAGTGCGGCAAAAAAAGGCCAAAGGAAAACTGTAATATACAGATTTTTGTCATCTTGCAGCAAAAGTAGAAAGTCATGAGATTTGAGGTTATTGTTTTACTTGATATGTTTTTTTTTATGTAGGCCTACCTGTCATTTAATTTAATGTATCTCTGTTTATTATGTAAATTAGCTGCCTCTTGGCCAGGACTCCCTTTAAAAAAGAGGTTTTTAATCTTAATGGGATTTTTTTCCTGGTGAAATAAAGGTTAAAAAAAGAATCCTAACATGGACTCCTGCTGGATTTTTTTTGGACTGTTTTCCATGTACATTCCAGGTTTTCTCAGAGTATTCCAGACTTTTTTAGGCAAAAAATGTCAGAAATTGGTCACTGGAGAGTTTCTTTAACAGCTTAAAATGTTTCTGGAACTACCAAATTACAAAAACAGAATGCGTCCCTTGGAGTTTTTGAATCACATCCGTATTTATCTGATTTTTTAGAACCTGATGAGACTGAACCCTTTAGTCCCGCCTTTAAAATCCAGTTGAACCAGCTCTTTACCAGATGAATAAACTGTGTATCAGTCTGGCTGGCCCGACTAGGAATATGCAGGTGGGTGTGGGCCCTATGGCAGTGGCGGCCGGCCCATAGGGGGCGCTGGGGCACCGCCCTCCCTGATAAGAAGAGAGAAATGTAAATTATATTTTTAGAAATTAACTCATAAATGTCAGTTTTACTCTCTAGACTGTGTACCTATAAGCAAAACAAATTATATAAACTACATTTCCCTATCTACTGTCATTCATTTGTGGATTTCCACAGACAGACTCCTACCGTCTCTGTTCTGGGGGCGCTGATCAGACAGCCCCACATTTGCAGAGGATATGTCAATCATGTACTATTGCTAGGTGAATTTAATGGCCAATCAGCGTCTCGGAACTTTATGGTCTTGGGGCGCTGAAAATACTGCGCTTTAACTGGCTTCTGCACCCAAGCGCAGGTGCAGACAATTAGAGGGAAGACGGCGAATGTAACGAACGAGATGCAGCTTCCACCAAATTCGGTGAGATCCTTATTTATCTACCCGTTTGCCAGAAGAACATCCCTGTTGTAGGATATGAACATTTCATGTCATGGTTATTGTGACTGTGACGAATCCACCTCGTCGCTTAAAACAACCTCTCTAACTTTGCGCGCCACACACACATTCCTGTTATACTGTGTTTGTGAGGACCAATACACTCGCGCTGAGCCCAGTAGCTCCATGAACTTAAAACACACAAGCTGTTCCTGGTTACCTGCTGGCATATTGAGGGTGCACACTTAATATTTCAGTGGGGTTAGCCGTGTGTGTGTGTGTGTGTGGGTATGTGGGGGGTGTGGGTGTGTACGTGTTTATGCTATGGGGACTTGTCATCTTCAGTCTGGCTGCGTCTTTGCTGGGTTCAAACCCAGTTTGGTGTAATTGAATAAATCAATGAATCTGTGTAAAGGAATTAAGTTGTAAAAATTATTTGTTTTTGTACATCAATTGTTTGTGGAGGTAATATATGGACAAAACTGATTAATGAGAAGAAATCAGAAATAAGAGAGCCTGATGTGAGGGGCTTAAACTATTTAATGAGGGCTGTGGGAAGAAAAGCGGCAATTTCTGTTTTCTGTTTCTTTGTTACATTGCTGGTAACTGGAGGGAGGCTGAGGCCCAGAGTATCTTGTATATGTTTAGTTTCTTTTGCACCCTGTTTTGAGTTTTTGAGCACAATAAATCACCAACACCGGTAACCCGACTATGCCTGGATTCTTGGAGGCCAAAGAACCCCGTCCCAGTGACCCAAATCATCACTGTTACTGTTATTCTATAGTAAATTAAAATATTACTGTTAAATTGTATGTATTGTCCAATTGTTTATTTGAATTCTTATTCCGGATTAGTTGGAGACATACACTAGGCTATATCAGCCCCACCAAAAATATTTTTCACCAGCCGCCACTGCCCTATGGGGTCTTGGCTGTGATTGACAGCCTCAATGATGCTGGCAGTGAGAACAGCACAAACATGGAGAGCATATTTTTTTGTTTTTGTTTTTGCACTCCTAGTCTCAGACTTTACCTCTTTCTTTTCCTCTGCTGGGAATTACTTTCTACTATTCCCTCCATCTTCACTTACTACGAGCACTATTGTATCTTCTAAAAACATTTAATAAGAAATATTTAGGGAACAGAGCTATCACAATCTCACTGGAAAGACTTTGCAACCTTCAAGTCAGCTGCTGGTGTAAATGTTCATAAAGTCATAGTATGTGACAAGGCTCTTTTAATCTTAGATGTTCTTAACATTTAAATACATTTAACTTTTCCCTCAACTATCTGTGCTGCAATCACAAACCATAGTGTGTTTCATTGGGATTTCATGTGATGCCATACATCCACAAAAAGTTAATAAAGTTGTAGGAAAAAGATCAGAAGGGAATGTTATGTTTTTTTTAGCCTATGGTTTGAGATACAGCTGAAAGTTTTTTATCGTACCAATGAATGAATTTAAACGCTAAATCCTATAAACTTTAACCAATATTCTTGTCTTTATTGAACAACAGCCTCCCACCAGCATGATGATGCCACCACCATGATTCGCTGTAGAGATGGATATTAAAGGAAGCATTGTTCGTTTTTCACCGGAGGCTTCTCTGATCAGATAACTGCTTCCCCTTACAGCTTTTGGTAAACTACAATAGACACATCCTACTCTTTCATTTGGCTAGGCCTCTTTTTCTGCCGCTTGTATTCTTGTTAAAAACTGGTTTCAGTTCCTTAGTATGATTTGCTGTTTTTGCAAAAAATTCAACTTTAAACTTCCAGAAGATGTGAATGACATCATGGTGTGTGGCTTACACAAACTTTGCAATATACCAGTGCAGCCAGCAGGAAACATGGGGCCTGAATGGCATAAAAGCTCAATGGTTTGATGACACCGCAGCAGAGTTTATGCTGCTCATGGAAGCAGTATACACCTACAGATATCCTACCTGTGGTGAGACATTACCACAAGAAGCAGCTATCAACACCTATAACAGCTGGTTAGAACACATATGAGTTAATCCTATGGAACATTTAATTTCCTTTGGGGACTAATAAAGTATTTTTGAGTTGAATTGAACTGAATGCATCACATTTCAGTATGTTAGAGTTTAAAGTCTTAGGGAAATAATATTTAAATGTCAAATCACTCTGGCTTAAACATGTATATAAATGTACTCTTTATCAGACTATATTGTCCCAAAAGTTAGAAAATATCTATAAAAAAAAAAAATCCTGACTTAAAATCTGTTTTTTTCTTTTTCCATTATCTTCTGCAGGCCAGTTAGTTATACGTCAACTTGAACACCTAAATTCAGCCAATCATATATCAAAGGTCATCTGTCAATCAAATTTTTTCGGTCACAGCATCTTTATTCATATGTCGCAGCTAATATACGCAACGGTTGAAATAAGAATCATTAACTTTACCATTGAGTTCCGTCCCAGTAACCTTTGGCAAAATTTCGTTTTGTACAGCTTTCAAACAGTAAATGAGCAGCAGTTTAGTAGTGAAATGAGCAAGATGTGTATCAAGCTGCTGCCTACAGGCTCAGCCGTGTTGGAAACTTTGTTCACCGCCTTAAAAAAAACAGCTGAATGTTTATTTTTTTCTCTTTTAGCTCTTGGACTGTTTCTAGAAGCAACAGAGGTCCAAGTGAATGATAAAAAATCTGCAAAGAGTTAATTTTATATTAAATATAGATACATGTGGAAACATTAAATCACGAGAGACAACAATGAGTAAAAGTGTTTACCTTTCTGTTTCTTCTTAGATAGAAAACTTAGACTAGATTAAAACTTACTATAGCTTTATTATAATGCTCTGCTGTGTTTTTGCCTGTCACAAAAATTTTATGAAAAACCGTTGTTTGTTGTTTTGCTGCGAGAAATGCAGATAAGTTTAAGGGTGATAAAGACTTTCGTGAGGCAATGCCTGTGGGACTAGATTTATACCATTTGATTGATTCCTTTTTATTTTCTGGGCTCAAGATCAAAGTCAGATGGCCTTAAAATTAGTTCAGAGGGGTTGGGTGTGTCATCACTGAGTGAAGACCAAGAGCAAAAAAAAAAACAAACAAGTTCTTTAAAGCTGATCCAAAAACCAGACTTTCCACTTTAACGCCATTTAACAGGTGAAAGCCGTGGCGGCTCCTATTAAAGCTAATTCCTCACTGAGCTTCTCTTGCTATTAATTCATTTGGGTAAGTGATCAAAATTCAAATTGTGGAGGAAACGAGAGGCCCCGCGGAGGCAAAGCTATTCTAAGTGACAGAATCGGATTATGTGACAATCCATATGCAATCATTTTATGCCAAGGGACAAGACAGACGTGGAGGAGAGATGGCGGAGTGGATACAGAGGGATGCAAGATGAGAAGGAGGCGTGGGGGTGGGCGACGAGAGGAGGGGGCGCCGGGAGAGAGAAATAGCAGGGTTGCCAGGACTCCAAAGCTTGTCTGTCATTCTGTGCGTCAGTCAGTCTATTCTCAGGCTTAGACGCAGGTAGCCTTTAGTATTTGCGCAAATTGGAGTGTGTTTACATATGCACACGCACAAACAACCAAGACAGAATTTCTTATTTAGCCAATAGGAACTGTAAATATCCCTCTTTATCCTTGGTCACAGTCTAATTAGATTCCACCACCACGGTGTTGCTTTTCCCAGAACATTTTCCTCTCTTTTCTTACCTCGCTCACACTTTGCCGCCGTGCAGCGCTGCAGACCTTCTGGCTGTTTCCCTGGTAACAGCTGCTTCCTGTTTGTCTGTCTTTGTTGCCATGGAGGGAGGGTAAGGGGTGATGTCGGGTTAGAGAGGGCGGTTCACTAACTACAATAGCAGTGGCCCCTGAAGTGGACATGAGGCTCTCTTTGTAAGCGCTTCCGGAAACAGTAGCGCCCTAGTTGTTTATGAATGTCATTGTTCCCCCTTTTGACGAGGAATTAACACAATTATGTTGGAGGCTGTGATACACGGAGAGTAGTTTTGTGCCTTTTGTTTGCCAAGGTAACATCCCTTTTATCTGAGTAATACAGCAGCTCAGTTATTTGTCTTTTTTTATTGGGCGCTTTATGTCTGATTTTAAAAGTGAGCACTCACTCAGCCTTGGCCCTCTTATAGTTATGCATTTACAAAGCTTCTCTGCTCTTACAAACTAGCTGTATAGAGAAAAGAAGAAGGTTTTCCATTTACAGAGGTTGAAACTACAGTAAAGCTCTTGATTGGTCAGTTTGGGTTTATGTAAAATGAACAGTTAATTTTACTACAGGTTTCATATCAAGGTTTTAATCTTATGTAATAAAACATTAACCTTTTTTTTTTACATTTTTGTTATGGTAAAATTTATTATGGCCCTCTTGGCTGTCTGTCATTGGAAATCTGTGTCATGTTTGCAACATGCTCTACCAGTTTTTGAACAAAGTGTTAAACATGTCTCCCAAGGAATTTGAAAGGTTTAGATGTTTTTATTATATATATTTATCCTGCTCTTCATATCAACACAACTTTCAGCCTGACCTGTTTACTGTTTTCCTTTGTATTCACAAAGTCCTTTGTAAACTAACGTTCTCTGGGCCTCTATGTACAGAAAGCTATGTACAAACTAAGATTAATTAACACATAAACTGACTCTGTTTACACATCGCATTAAATATTCTATATTCTTGGTAGGAGAAGAAAATATACCACTAAAATGTAAAGCGGAAAATATAAAATATAAAAAAACCTACATTTTAAAGTAAAACACAGGATGTAAATATTTTTACATCCAGTTTCTGGAGACATCTCTGCAATAATTGCTGCCGTCACTTTGAAATTTTACCGAGAGCCTAGGATTTATGTCACATCCAGCCTAGCCACGGTCCAGCTGCAAGTTAGAAAATAATTGGTAATTGGTACTTCTTCTGCTTCATAAAAAGGATTTTAAAGATGGGATTCCAACTTCAATAAAAGCTTCTTTATCAGCTCAGTTGAAGACTTCCATAGTTTTCTTTTCTAAATCATATTAAGGTGTATTCAAACCAGAAGCTCCCTTGGTCCTCTTGTTTGGCCCCTGAGCAAACGTGGATATTTTTTTTATTATTATTGATTTTATCAGGTCTGGTTTCTATTCCAATTTCACTTTTTAAAAGCAAACTATAACTTATACCAAAGCTACATGCGTGACAATTGCTAGAAGAGGTGTGATTTGGATTTATTTTCATTTCTATGAAAGCTTGCAAAGACCAAAAAAACGTGTCCTTCCTGCATTTGGTACAAGGCCCGTTTATATTCATACCTAAAGTTAACAGCACCAATGTCAATTTGGAAGCAGAGCACGGCCACCTAAAGCCCCTGTCACACCATGATGATTTAGCCAGCCTATGCCTTACGTCCCAGATTCTTCTAAAATGCTGGCATACGCTGAACTTTTTAGGTATTTTAATAACATTTGACATATACATAGCGTATTCATAATGAGTGCAGAAGTTATATCAAAGGACAGCCTAACTAATGCATAACGCACGGCAGCATAGTGCCCATGAAATGCTGCACAAGCCAGTGTCCTGAGGACAGAGGCACCCGGCCTGCATAAAAAGATTGATTTTATTGTGGCATTACCCTAGCTGCTGTTTACTGCCCGACAAAAAACAAACAAAAAAACAAACAGAAAAACAATAAATAAAAGGAAAAAAGAATAAGAAACAAGGGTTGCAGGCGCAGCAGATTCAGCATCATGTCTGTTAGCAAGTTTGTTGGCCGTTGGCGTGAACACAGGGAGGATCCATCACACTCACTTTCTGGCTCACCCTATGATGGGCATGAAGTCTGGAGAAGAACTGATGGTTTCCTCCTATGAACCCCTTTTATACCAAAACACTGCCAATACGCCATTATGCAGTAGCTGGAAGTTAGAAACACGTTTAGCGTCGTCTGGAAAACATCAAATACATTGATATGCATTTGAGACAAGTTCTTGGTAAGTTACGCATAAGTTTTGCACGTTACCTCATTGCTTTTGGATAAGGTAGACGCTATGACGTATGAGTAACTTACACTTAACGTATGTCAACGATCAGATAACTTACCTGTAACTTATGGCCCACGTATGGAATACGCTGGCATATGTCAAAAAATTTTGAGCATTCTCAAAATACTTGTTGTATGTCAATGTCTGCCAGCGTGTTTCATGGTGCTTCTGCGTGCTCGTAACTTATCCAACATATGCCAGCGTTTTTGCCAGTCAAAGTGTGACAGGGGCTTAATAAAGTGAGGCCTGGTCCACTTGCTTGGTCCAATTTCATGGTGTTCTTTATTCACACCTGCACATAAATCCAGGACCGAGGTTGTCAAGGAACTCTGTTCCGTTTAAAGTGGACCAAAGGTAGCAGTTGTTACACCCTTAGATAACAAGACCAGATCTTTAAATCCTCTTTGTTCCCAGTCACAAAGAAAATTATTTACAGAATTTTGTCAAACATATAGAAATACCAAAATGAAATAGATCTTTCACAACATCTGTTTTCCCCAGATCTTTTCACGGAAGTATTTCCTGACATTCTTCACCTTGTGTAGACAGTTAATGTCCTGAAAGGATAATGCCATTAACTTGGGTATTTTTCTCATGGCTAAAGTATATTGAATGGACACAAACAATAAGAGAAAAAGCAGGCTGTTGAAAAACTTTTGAGGGATTTTACAAAGTCTAGGAAAGAACTGTTCAAGCACTTAAAAAAACAAGAAAAGAAAATGTTATGAGTAAAATACAGTATATAGAAATCACAGGTTATTAGAGAAGTTGATACAAATTGAATGGGGAGTTAACCGATAAACCAGATAATTCTGGTTCTCAGAATCTGGGTGCTGCTAAGTGGAAACTCTTTGAAAAAGGAAATGCAAAAGCAAGAGGGAGACCAAGAAGCGTTTAAACTAAGGAACATAAATACATTTGCATCTTTGCAGAACTAAACTCTGCTATTTCTCTACCTGTTTCTTGATATATATTTTTCTAAGTTTCTACCATAGGAAGTGCATTGTCTCATTGAAACTGTAATCTTTATGTCTTTATTGGGATTTTAAACCACTGACTAACACGAATAAAGGCATAATTGTTACATTTAAAAAAAAAAAAAAAACATTAAGCCTTAAAAGGTTGAAATCCTTAAGTTTTCAGTAACGTTTACCATTGCACACTTGTTTAAAACATTTTGAATAATTAGATTGGGGTAAAGTGAGATTAAAACATAATTTTAATTAGGTTTTAATATTGAAAAGTATTGAACATTAATAAAAAAAATAATAATTAAGATAAGTAGATAAGTCTAACTAATCCCTGATATGTAGCGGTAATTATAACCAGTGTTGGCATCGGCCTAAAAAAAAAACAAAACGTGTATCAGTCCATTTCTATTGAGCATGATAGCTACTGCAACATATGTTAATTGCTTAGAAGGAAAATCTGCTCCATGTAAATTATGAAAATCCTTGCTACAAGCTTACCTGAATATAGCCTGATAGTTTATTTAGCTATTGCAACTGTGTTGTATTTGGACGTTATCTGCACAGCTTCATTCAGTAGAGAACGGTCAGCACACTGTTCTAACATCTGTTTCACATGATGCATAAAATCTCTCACCAACCTATCCAAAACAAGCATCTGTGTCATCATTCTGGCCTCTGAATAAAGTGCATGTCTGCATTAGCAGGATGTGTTTTCCACCTTGTTCTGTCAGCCCGACTTGTCAATGTGTTTTTTGTCTTCTTTTTTTTGCACGACTAAGTGGAGATGGGAGTCATTAGCCACAAATGAGAGCTTTGAAGTAAGTGGATCTTTGTACTGGAAGATGACACCTGGCATATCTGTTAGAGCATACCAGACATACCACAATGCAGTTTTTATTTAATAAGTCTCTTGGAGGTATTTCGTTTAAATAAAGGAGTTCTTTGTAAGAAGCGGTCTGATTTTTTCTAGATCTTTGGGAGGTGGTGATAGTGGGGCACACCTTGCAAGAAATAATTATGTCTGCACAAGAGGGTATAACACATGGTAAACAGAAGATGTGGGGTTAGTATCTTGTTCCAAACTGGCCTGTTTCCCTCCTGGCAGGCACTCCCTCTGAAGATAAAAGAGGAAACAGTGCAGAGAGAGATCGGGAAACACGGTGAAACTTCAAAGCTGGAGAAGAATTTCTTTAAACATTGCTCTCCAAAGACCACATCAAACACTGGGGGGGCGAAACGGAGAGAGAGAGCAAATTCACTCACATGCATCCTGCCATCCATGTGTGTACACATCCACATGGCGTAAAGTTGCAGGGATGCATAAAGGCTGTATAGAAGAAATAGATGCTGTCAGCTCTGATAAGGAGGTTGTAACATGTGTGTGTGTTTTCCTTCGTGTTCTGGGAAGCCTCTCCAGCACCCGGAGAGCACTTTGGTGCAGTGGCTGCCAGGGAGACGATCAGAGGGTGGCCCTACAGCCCACACACCCGCTCACGCACACTCACCCCGCCACATCAGGGCTCCTATTGTGCAAGTGCACGCATACACATAAATGTGCGTGCGCTGCAAGCAAATCCTCTTAAACACTCCATACTCTTTTGTTGTGTGTAAATCAGAGTGGATATTGATTGTTTTAAACACAGCATTTACAGCCCAAACAGTATTCCGGGGGCTTATTTGTCCACCCACACACAATCAGGATGATGCCGAGGCAATAGGAACGCTTAGCAATGCGCAAGCAGCTGGGATTACATTAAAGCAGACGTTCTTGACATTCCTGTGAAACCCTCTGGTATCATGTTGAGGAAACACGACACAGTCA